TCACCAAAAAAAAAGAAAAAAAAAATTTTAAAAAAAAAAAGTGTTAAAAAAAAAAAAAAAAAAAAAAAAAAAAAAAAAAAGAATCATCATGTTAATTTTTGCCAAAAGAAGATATGGGCAAAAAAAAAAAAAAAAAAATCCCTTTTGGCAAAAATTGAGGTAGTCCATTATTTTAAGGAAGGTGACAATATTCAACATCCTGTTTCAGTCTTACTATGTACTTCACTTTTACAACCGTCCTGTCACAAATCACTCTGTGCACTCCATGTGTCTCTCTCATTCACACACACTTCTTAAAGCTGCAGTATGTAACTTTTACAAAATATGTTTTTTTTCCATATTTGTTAAAACTGTCACCATGTTGTGACGATATAATATCAGACAGCTACTATTGGGCCTGACCAAAAACAACCAATCAGAGCCAGGAGGAGGGGCTTAGTGCTGCTAATCAATGCTGCTAAATGTGCTAATGGCAGAGAAACAACTTACCATTCCATGACAACCGTTCACCTGCTGTCACTGGTGACAATGCTAACTAGCATAAGTAGCCCAAAAATAAATACTCAAGTAAAAAAAGGTACTCAAAAAACATACTTAAGTACAGTATTACTGTCCATCACTTAGCTGAAAGGCCGAGATAACACCAATGGAAAATCCGTCAATGAATCTCAGAGATGAGAAATTTCTAGAAATTTGCCTGGAAAACAAAGAAACATTTGATGACGATAGAAAGGAAAATCAAAGTAGGTTTTCCCAATCAACAGCAAGTCAGCATCCTGCTGAAACTGGACGAAACCTCAGAAGCTGGAGTAGAGAGCAAATCAAATAATTTCTATACCTGATTTTCCTTGCAGGCTTGTGGTGGGGCTGGTTCCTTCAGCGGTCAGACACCCTGACCAGGTGGACAGTCCATCACAGGGCTATATAGAGAACAGGTTAGTTAAATACAGCCAGGTACAGGCGCAGGCAAAGAGCAGAGCTGCTGAGGGTTGGAAAGGCGATGCATTCAATGCTGGTAGGAAAACACAAAGCAGACTCAAACAGGTAATTGGAGAGAAGGTGGAGAGCTGACTCTTATGCACACAGTGATGATACAACATGAGTTACTGAACAAAGTGAGTCCAACCTGCTCAAACACTGTTGTCATTGTTGTGAAGGTTGTTTTGTTTGCCTCTTCATAGCCACAGCAAAGACAAGACAGAGAACATTTTGAGCAAATAAGAGGAAGACAGTAAAGAAAACAGTAATACTCCCCCTGCTCTGATTGCTTCTCTCTGTTGTTTTAGTCTCTTTACTCAGAGACTAAAGAAACAATCTGATGGATTCAGTGGCTGAGGAGGAAATGAAAGGATTACTGGAAGACAGTGATTTTAGCTCAGCAAACAGACACAATGTTGAAAAATAAATATTGTCAAAACTGCTCACTCATTAATCTGCTTTTTGCCAAGTTACTCTGCACTATCGCCAAAAATCTTTCATTACATCAGTTTAGGTATCTCTGAACACTTAATTTAGCGCTACACAAATTATTGAATCAGAGACATGGCAACATCAACAGCAGGAACATCACATCAGGCAGCTTGGATGCAATATTAGGAATGTTCATATAAAGCAGCTTTTAGTTACAGGACTAGTTTTAAACAAAAATCTAGAATAAGCTTCCAGTTGACTGCAGCAAGGTTCCCGTCTTAAGTTATTTTTAAAACCTTTCTATTTGCTTCTGCCCAATCTTAACTCTGATTTTTAAGTTATTATCTTATTGGTTTGGTGTGTAACTGTGTACATTGTGTGTTGTTTTTATCTTTATGTACTAGCACTTGGATTTGCCTTTGGCTGAAATGTGCTATGTATAAATAAAGCTGCCTTGTCTTGCTTTTATGCTGACTCCTGATAAAGCTCTTGGTGCCCAAATCATAGCACTCAGGTAAAGCAGTGGTCCTATCATAAATGGTTGAGAAAAAAATTAGACAAATAATCCACAAAATAGTCAAAAATCCTGACTAGTGACTCCATTAAGAGGGTTTTGGTCCGGATTTTGATTTCCAGCTTATTAAAAGGAAACATAGAAGTTATGAAGCGTAAGTGTTTAGCACGTAAATGCTGATGTGTTTCCAGATTAAAACAATGAAGTACTGCTACCGTCGTCAACATAATAGTTTCTATGACAAACAAAGAAGACATTTTGAATGAGTTAAAGTTTCCAGATTTTTATGCAGTAATTTGTCCAGCCTGTCTACAGGGAACTGATATTTTCTTCAAACATCAGATGCCTGTGAGGTCACACTAAATGCCTTTGGCTTTGATACTCTGCTTCCCACTGCTGCCAGCATGAGACAGTGTTGTCAGTCACTTATGGTCTAATCCAATCTGTGCCAGCTTGACTTGTGTCGCTATGTTTTAATATTCAAAACAGAAGTATAAAGCATTAAAGATGAATCGTGGATTTTTATTTATTTTTTTGTCCATGCATCGCTTTCAGGTGTAATAGCTATTAGAACAGTATGAATTGGGCATTAGTCTACGGCAGAGGACTTGTTGATACAAGCTAATCCAATTAGTAGAACTGCATTATAATATATAGGCAGGAATGCCACTGTTGAGGAGAGGAAAAGGTAAGGATGATAATTTTTTGCTTCTGAGAGGAGTGTTGTTACAGATGGTGTATCTACTATATAGAATTCTTCCTTTATTTCAATGGAAAAATCCACTGAAATAATGGATTATAGAAAGATCTTAGCAAGTCTATGATCTTTGCTGATCATAGACTTGCTGGTGAGATTTAATTTCTAAACTGGTTTAAGAGCACTTTGATGTCTTCTGGAGCCTCGGGATATCTGCTCAAGATTTGGTCCGATGATTCACTGTCAAACATTAGATTGTCAACAAATTTAGTATAATCTTCATGCTGGTTTCATGTTCCTCCTAGTCATTGATATGATGTATTTCACCATTCTCCTGCAAATCAAATTCGGTCTTCAACAACATAACATCACGACAGTCTGAATGTCAGCAGTTCATAAAGTGGAGAACCCAGATGATTATCACAGGAATCTTGTCCAAGATGTTGCTAGTCCATTAGAAGGCCTCTTTTCTTTCTTCTACATTTTTTCAAACTGAAAAACTTATATTACGTTATTCCGTATTGTCGCTTATTGATGACGTAATATAAACCTTGCTTTGTGTGGCTTCTAGTGACACTGACTTCACGTTTTCAGTCAGCGGTTGTTTCAGACAAGTGAAACATCAGGTTTTCTTCTAAACTCAGCCGCCAGACCGTAACTGTTCCTCTTGAGGTAAGACAAGAACGAATGTGTTGTTTTCGAAGCAGTAACGAACTTTTCCTCGCGCTTCTGTTGACGTGTTAGCGCGAGCCGCTCTGTGTTTACAAACAGCTCCACCATCTTTTAGCTCTGACCAGCTAACTGCTAACACCTACATTTATGCAGCTTACTATCATACAGGCTGAATATTAATGAAGTCATCTTTCAGTTATAACATTTTATGTATCAGGAGGGTTTACCGTTATTTTGGTTTTCAACTGGCACAATTAATAGGCAGAAGAATAACGACACACTTTCGTACGTCAAAGACGCCGCCATATTGGGAGGGTATACTGTGACTTTTCATTGCATCTAAAATAAAGTACATTTTCATGGAATTCACCAGACATGTTGGTATAGATGTCATGGCGTCATACTCGATGCCTCCTGGCGTTATTCTCTAATGAGCAGATTTGTAATATGACGTTGAAAAGCATTATGTTGGTTTCTCCAGCTCTCTTCATTTTAATAAATTCCATCTTATAGTTTCCAACAGAAATTTTTTTTTGCCAGAAGAACATTGTATTTAGGCAATGCTTGTAATTGCAGTCACTTTTTACTGGTAGAATTTTTTTTATTTATTTTGTTTGTCTTTCAAGTTCCTATTGCAGTCAAATACCTGCAGTAATGGTAAAAAAAATAAAACAATAAAAAACAGGAAGGTGAAATTGTCTTAGACAAAAACACTCATTGCATTTTATTTATACGACTTTGCAGTTAAAAACTGTGACAGAATATTTCCTCCATCCCCTTTCTTTCAGTATAACTTGAATGCAGAATGATGGGGCAAAATGGTTCAAAGATGCAGCTTTGTTTCATGACCTGAAACAACTAAAAAGGCTTGACATACTTCTCTAAGTGAATGTATAAGTGCCACTTGGACCATGCATGTGCTCCTGTCCATATTATTTTTAGCTCAGATGAATAACTTCTTCTTACAAGCCATTACGAGCTTGTTTTACACTGTAATAATAAAGTGATTTCAGAAAAAAAGTTACAGCAAAATTGCTGAAAGGCAGCAAAGCTAAAACTTGTACCACTATGCACCAGGGATGATGGTAGATTGTATTGTCAAATGTAACAGTAATTGCTTTTTTTTTCTAAAGAAAATGCATAAAATTGGAGACTTCTCAGGAAGAATAGATGTGTGTGGACAGTGTCATGAGGCAACATTTTGCATAATGATACAGTAAAGATATTGTCTGCGTGTCATTCAGTCTCATTGGGCTTTACAGGTAACATGATGTTGTGGATCACTAACTACTATTATTCCACATCCATGTTGATGGGTTTTGAGAAGAGAGAAAAACCTAATATTTCTTCCAGGGATGGCAAGTGATATTCCAATCATATGTGAAAATATACATTGTAAAATAATAATAATAAAAAAAAACATATTGTGGACAATTTATTCAAAATTTATTCATGCTTAAAATATGATTTAGAATTTTGTAGCTGTGCAATCAATTTTAGGGCAATTTTGGAGGTTCTAATAGTATTTATTAATTTGCTTATTTCCTAAATTAATAGTTAAAAAGTTAGAACACCTACTTGTTCTTTACAACAAGCTGTACCAGAGTACTATGCTGTAGGTTGGTTGACCTCTTCATGTATTTCTTTGTGTTTCTTCAGGGATGAACACATCAGTGCGTGAAATCCACCTCTCTTCTCAGGCTGACTTTTCCTACTTTCTACGGGTGGACTGGGAGGGGCGGGGCTTAGGCTTCGGCTTCAAGTTGCTTTTGACTGATGGACACAAGGCATGGAGAGGAAAGGGTAAAAGTCATCCTTTGTGATAATTCATTGAAGATGTTAAACAACAGATTTTTTGCTTAAGTTATTTAACTATTCCCATTTCACCTGTGTTTGATTTGAACATCACTGCCTCCATCGATAAAAATTGGAGGGTCAGTTGTAAGTGATTCTCAGTGAATCACTTACAAAGACTTCCTGGAGGTCTTTGTAAAGATCATTTCAGTCCTGGTGGTTTTACAGGTGCTAGTTGAGTCTCCTCCAGTCTTAAAGGTTTAGCCTTTAAGACATGATTTAATGTATTTTCATAAACTTTACCAACTCTAGAAATCTCAGATGACTAAGTTTTCTGTGCCAATAAAAACAAAGTAAACGATTGGAGTTGGTGTAGCAACAATAAATTAAAGGAATCATAGGTTCCTTGTTCTGCTATTTAAAGCACTAATAATTGATCATTAGTGGTGTGAAAAGCTCTATAAAAATAGAATTGTTGGCAGCTTGTTGGTCTTGAGCATAAATGTGTGTTAATACAATGCTAACTGATTCTTCAGGCCTCACTTAGCATGTTAAATGTTCTACACCCTAAAATGGGGACAAGCCTGAAGAATTATGGCATGCTGGGAAGGATTGCCAGGAGAACGCCTTTCTCTTCAAAACTCAAGGTTTAGATGTATAATGTTGCATCTAAATGAAATTCAAGTTTTCTTTGGCAGATGAAACCATCATAGTGATGTATTACTGTAATGCATAACAGCGTGTTTGTCAAGAATGCATTTATTATAAAATACTCTAGTTAAATGTGAAGCTATCTATTCAGAAGCCTAATGTTGGCAGAAGCTGAATTATGATCGGGATAATGATCCCACCCCCAGTAGCCAGTCTGCAGCAGAATGTCAAAAAGGAGGGATAAAGGTGTTGTAAAATCACAGAATAAGTCCAGACCTCAGCTTTATTGAAATGCTGTGGAAGGAACCTTAAGGGAGCTGTGCAGGAACTAATGTGTGCAAACCTCAATTCACTGAAGCAACCCTCCAAAGAAGAGTGAGCCAAAATTCTTCATACATAAAGTCATACAGAAAACAATAACTCAGTGCTGTGGCTGTTAAAGATTGTTCTACAGGCTGCTCAATCATGCACTTAGTTATTGTCTGACTGTATGAAGGAAGCTTATAAAAAGAAAAGCATTTTATATGCAGATAACCATTTTATACCACTAAAAACATCAGTATGTGTGCAGTGAGTGAGGCGGTGGTGAATGAAGAGGCAGAGGAACTGGAGATGGCGAAAGAGAAGTACATCCAGGACCTCCAGGAGGCTCTAACAGAGCCAGAGCCCTCGGCCTCCTACTGCTTCACCCTGAAGCCACACCCACCCACCAGTAGCCGCACTGTGACTCTGACATATGAGAAGATGCAGAAGGACATATCCGTGAGCGCTACTTACTTTTTAAGCATGTTGTGTATTCACAAATAAAGACGAGTTTAACAAAATTACATGGTGCAGCCTTAACAGGAAATCCATTTGACAGGTTAACGTAATGTCTTACTGTGTGACTGAAAAACAAATTATTTGATGTAATTTTCAATAGTCTTGCTTTAATATTATTTTCTTCCCTCAACAAATATAAATAAAACTTAATATTACTTAAGTTGCTCTGCTCATCAAATCCTGTACATAAGTATTAGTTTGTAAAACATTTTCACAATTCTCTGAATAAATCCTGTTTAAGGGTCAGCTGTGCATACGTCCTCCTTTATGCTGAAACTGCAAAAAGTCCTTGTTGTGACAGAATGGAAATATGTTGCTCCAAAGGAAGAAATGAATCATTGTTTGCAGAAACGGAGACAATTAAACTGACAGTTTAGCAGAACTTTATAGTCAGATGAGAATTTCCTTCCTCTAAAACGCAAACAAAAAAGATGATCTCTTATGTGCCTTTAAGTTATGCAAGTAGTGTGAGGACTTTCCTTCAGAGGAGTACTTTGGTAAAATCCCATTCTGGCCTCCCTTCCTTCATTCTTGGCGCTTACTTTCTTTAACTTCTCTTCCTAATCATTTGTGATGTGGAGGGATGGGCAGCTTTCTAACCTGTAAAAATAAAAAGTTATGAGCTTCACCTTCAAATATTATTTGTCCTTTAAAATAATTTGACTGACCCTAAAGTCTATGTAATGTCCACCTTGAGTTGTTATCTTGCTTTTGATATTACAGTCACTTTCATGTAACAAGCACATAAATCTCCATAATAACTCTGCATTTCCAAAATAAGAATTATTTATACTTTAAACAACTGGGCTGCAATATAGCAGCAAAATATGTATTTGCAATGTTATTGCTGAATATTGTGATGCTAATTAGGTCTGAAAAATATATTGTGGCTAAATAGTCATCACAATATCGGTGTATGAAATATTTATATCACAGAGGTTTGTTTGGAATGCAGTAATTGTTGGATAATATATTCAAGTTGTTATGAACTTGGATTTTCATGTTAATGTAATATTTGGTCTCGCACCAGCAGATGCAGATGCAGTCACAAAAAACTATACTTGTAATATTGAGAAAAGGTTTTATGATCAGTGAATTTTGCGGCAGACTTGATGCATTATTCAAGTCATCTGTTGAAAATCCCTGTATTTTTTTTTTCATGCCGCAACATATATTTCAGGGTTATTAAAACGTGAATTTTCCCCCCCCCAGTATTCTGCAGTACAAATCCTGATCAGGAATGTCAAAATAATTGATGTTTCTCATAATTTATACTAAAAATGAATTCTTTACTCATTTGCATCAAAGTTGATTTACTGCATTCAGGCAGACATTAGTAATTACAACCATCATCTGTTTACAGGTTTAGGTTTGGACTTGATTGCAAAATGGTCAGTGGATCTGACAGAAGCATGTTTATTGGTTTTAAGTTAGCTGCTGCAGAGACACGTCTGTCACTGTTACCACACCACTATACAAGGGTGGCTTTTATCTGCTAATAATAAAAAATACCATAATGACAAGAAAATAACTTATTGGCAAGTAGAATAAACACTATATCTAACTCTATTAAACAGAGTACAAGCAGCTAAACACAGTAATATCATCTTATTTTGTGCTGTGAGTTCAGCCATAGTTAGGAAGTTGGGCCATAATTCCTGTTCTAATTGATCTCAGCTGCTAAAAGCAAATGGTGTAAATCTATTTTAATGTGATTAGGTGGCCAGTTAATGGTTCCCAATTTAAATAAAGGTTAGAGAAAGGAAAGAAATCATAGTTTTCTTTGTCTAATCTGTGAATGGACAAAAAACTACAGACTAGAGAAGCACATCCCAACGCATGCATTGGCAGGTTTTGAATGTTATAAAATGACAGTGTCATCATTTGAATTTAATCTGATACTCATTTATTTAAAAACAGATCTTTGTGAATGGAAATGAGCCTTATTGACTTCCTTACAAACAAAATAAACTAAATGGTGTGAAATTTGTCTCCCTCAGTTCAAACTTGGCTCGGTCTCTCTGGATGCTGTCAAGGAGCCAGCTGAGGCAGTGAGAGAGGTGCTGATACACACACTGCAGCAAGGAAACGAACTGCAGCAACATAACCACAAACTGAAGGAGGAGAACCAGAGGCTGATGCAGGAACACCAAAACATCACTGAAAAGTAAACACACATTTAGCGCATATAAAACACTGCAGACAGATAAGTTCTGCTCCTGGAAGGCTGAAGTTGGCAGGGAAGTTGGATAAATTCCGAATTAGTATCAGTAGAACCCAAGAAAACGTCAACAAACTTTTAAAATTCTAAAGCATTCTTTTTCTTCTTTTGTTTTTTTAGCTCATTCATGACGACTGTCATGGTGTTCAGCTAATGTTTAACATTCACTAGGTCTGTATCTTAAGCTGTTCTTCAAAATGTTTAAAGAAAATATGCTTCCTTGGCAACACAGCATTGACCTGTCAATATTTCAGCTTTGGTCTTATCATTTTTCATTTGAAGCTCATGATCAGTGTCGGAAAATATGATTCATTGTTTGCAACAAAGCCTATTTGAATCTGTACTGGAGAGGTTAGATGGCTTAAACCTGATCCTATTCCATATGTTTGGATTAAGAGTTTGGAAACTAAAAGTCTGAAAGCTGCATTAGCATGCGTATTAGCTAATGCAGCAGGTCATTGTTGCAATATATTTCCAAGTAGATTTATCCAGGTCTTAAAGAATAAGACAGAATAACGGTCTTATTCTTTAAGCTTATAGTTATAACCAATGAACTTTTGCTTTCCTTTGCCAACCTCCCACTTTCACAAGCAATGTATCACAATTTTTATTTTTCCTTTGGTTTCACTTTGACTTGAGACTTTAATTCAGTTCAAAAGAACATTGTTCATCCCAAAATAATGTTGTTGTAACTCATATCCATCCATCCGAGTATAATCAAAGAGTCGTCAATTATTGGTGATGCTGTGGGCAGGAAGTATCTCAGATAGCAGTCTGTCTTGCAACAATCTGTTGATGCCTCTGACTGAAGACACTATTGTTGTACACAGACACATGACAGCTCGATATCCAGGCAGCAAAGATTAGATTTCATAGTAACGTGTCCCGGTGACATCCTGAACTCTTCCAATCTAAATCCCTTCACTGAGAGGTCACCAATATTTTTTATTTGAAGTGCTAAGCCTCTCCCAGCTAACTAACTACCCATTCTGTAAGGTTAACATTTAACCGCCTCTCCACCCTAGGGGTGCGGAAATCCATTATCTGGAGAATATCGACCACTTCTCTGATAAATCCAGGCTGGTTTATTGGAGAAGACCAGTCTGGATTTCTAACGGCCTACATCTGAGTGTTCCATCCCAGATGTGGTTAATCCTTCCATGGATTAACCACATTAATCCATGGAAGGTTAATCCTTCCATGGATTAACCAAACTGAGTAGTCAGCAGCCAGCTAGCTTCCCCAGATCTGACGCATTAAATGGCTGCTCTCCCCTTATTACAGCTGACCCAGGTTATAATTTATTGACTCGTATAAAGTCCTAGGGATGTTTTAATAATCTTGGAGCATGGCAACTACTACTTGTAAATCTGCAAACCATGCACCAAGACTGTTTTACTACTATTGAACAACTTGAGATCACAATGACACAATAATTGAATGTCCACACTTCTCTAACATTTTATGTGCCTTCATTAGTAATGTTGCGCATATGCCAGTACCACTTAAGTAGCACAGAAAATGTATAAAAATATAACTAACGTGTCTTTCTCTAAAGTGAAATTCCTCTGTGCCCTTTGTCTCTGTCACCCATCACATAGCAGTTGTGTTAGGTTGCTGCTCCATGTCTGATGTATATGTGACCTATGTTGGTGTATGTTTCAGCCTGAAGCACTACGCTGAAAGCATAGAGACCCTGAAGGCAGAGTTGTACTCTCGGTTCGTCCTGCTCCTCAATGAGAAGAAAACAAAGATTCGCAGTCTGCAGGAATCTGTCACAAAGCTGCAGGAAACGAGGTGCCGGGCTGTCATTAACCAGACTTTCCATTAGCTCTGCATGCTGAGAGAGACACTCAGTCTTTTTGATGAAAGTCACATCACATCTAGACTTCCAGAGATATTTTCTTTGGATCAACAACCAAGAAAAATAAACTTTAGGTGTCTTTAATTCTATATATATGAAGCAATGTTTTTACTCTGACTTATTTTTAAACCCCTTAAAGTTTCTTAAAAGAAATGAGTCATAATTATTTCTGACTTATGTTTTTAAATAAAACATAAAACATGTTTTATTTAAAAAAATAAAACATTTTTTATATATTTTATTTTAATAAAGGAACAATTTTTTTTTGTAACAAATACATTTGTAGTTTTTCTTCGTATGTGTTGATTATATTTTCATAACATACATGCCATAATTTATATACTTAAAAAAGGGAGAAACTACTGACTGAAAATATGACATTACCAAAGATACATATTCTCTCCAGTTTCTGTTATTTTATGTTTTTTTAACGTAAGTTTTTACGACCCTATTCAAAACAAAATAAAAAAAAATGTTTTATGTTTGATTTTATATCCCGTAATTATTTCAGAAGAAGGAGTTTGTAGTGTTGCCATTTTGGATCTAGACCATTTATAAGATGGCAGAAAAGAATTATTGGATTGAATACATGTTTTTGACTAGCATATGTTTGAAATGTTAGATCTTACAGAGCTATAAATAATTAAATGGTTTATTACTATGTTGTGGTTTTGTTGTAGGAATTCTGATGAACAGAAAAACAAGGATTGTGCAAAATTGGATCGAACAGCAGGTCACAACAGCGAGGATGATGAATATGAAGGCAGCACTGACGAAGAGCTGAAGGAAGAGCAGTCAGCAGAAACTTCTCATTCGTCATCTAAAGGTAAGATTATTGTTAATCAAATGCTTATCATTCCAAAGTACACAAATGTGATTTTGTGACGTTACAAGGGCCTTATGGAGAAAATGACAAACTTCAAATTGATGTTATGTGGTTATGATTGACATTGCTCAGATTTTAAACAGCTTTTGCCCTCAAAAAACAAGTCTTATAATAGCTTCAATTTGTTTATTTCAGTTTATTTATGGGCGACTTGTCTCCATCGCTCATGAATGAAGTACTCCTGTAATGCATATAGTACTTATCAGAAGTTGTTAAACTGAACATGTTGAGTGGCACAACACAGTACCTTCGCTATTAGCGATTGTTTTTGTTGTTACCTGCTTATGCCTGCGTAGAACAAACACTAGAGCCATTCGTTCTATATGAGCTTTTACACCTGCTTAGTACTTGACACCACCATGTTACAGAAAAGTTTCACTCTGAGACCTGGTTTCAAAAAATGCCACCAGTCACTGTTTTTGTACAAACGAGCAGCTGGATCATAACCAAACTTATAGTTTAACAGAAGAGCAGCTCTGTGTAAGCGTAACCTTAGCTTGACCTTTTCTTTCAAAGAATAGTCAGCAAGCTGATGGATTCCCCAGCTGTACTTGCCATTTGACTCAAACACACACTTTTTTCAGAGTTCTGTTTGCAAAAAGAACATGCTGTTTTCCTACATGTTACAATTATGCACTAGTTTTTGTTGGTCTACTACATAAAATCCCACAGAATAGGAGAGCAGTTTGTAAATCGGTTCTACTGCCAAGATTGGATCTTGCAGATTAAAAACATCATTATGCTGCACATGGAGATGAATTGTTGTAGAGGATAAGAGTCGGTCTGGTTTCCTTATGTCTTAATCACAGCAGTATTGTGCTTCTAAGCACATCTTTTCATTCCCTTTATTTTTGTATGAAAGAGATGTCAAATGATTCATTGAGTCTAAACGTGATAATCCTGGTTAATAAAATCCAACTGTAGTGTTTTTAAGTTCCATTTTGACTAATTTATGTAGGTATGTCAACATTTAATCAGGTCTTCTGAAAACTACTGTAGTTTTCTGGGTTTTTTTTTTTTTTTTTTTTTTGTCTGAAGTGAGCAGATGTATGTTTTGTTTTGGTGTTTACAGAAAACGCTATATATACTTCAATATCACTGAGAACCTTCATGGGAAGTGTAATGAAAAACCCATAGATTTGTAATATTTAGTTGTGATATTTCTGGCTGCTGTTGTCATTGGAGCCGAATGTTTGTGCTCCATTACTGTAGCAGTCATGACGTCACCGAGAGGTTAGGTAATACATCGAGTTGGACCTCTGTGAACCAACATCCCCACACAGCCTTAAATGCAAGCAGCCGCTAATGTTGACATTACATTTTATTATTTATCCTCCTGACTTTTACTCGCTGTTGTCCTGGACACTAGTAGTGCGCCATCACCAGAGAATACGATGTGCGGATCATTATTTACCTTTCAGACAGCTGTGGAAAGCCTTTACAAAAGTTGGCACAACTCCATTTTTTTTTTAACATACTAGAACATCACAGCCAGGTTAGGTTTATTTTTTTAATCCATCAAGGCTTTTTGGCAACTTTCTGGTCCCTGTTGGCTTTCCTCCTCCATCTTAAGAGGAAAGGCTAGCTGGATTTATGTTGTTTCTGTTGCCATGGTTCTAACTAACATGGTCAGCAGGGGGAGAGAGGGGTAAAGGAAGTGTTGGGAAATGTTAGGTTTTGTTTTGTCTGAAAATGAGTTTGTTTTGTGTAGAAACTGCTGCCAGGGGAAAAAATGAGCACAGATCAGAGTAGGTAAAATTTTGTGTACTCTGACGTTCACACCCAGTAATAACAAGGAGGAAAAGGTCTTTTGCTTTCATTTAGTTTGATTCTAATCGAGGTGACCACTAACAGGTGTTTTGTGTTTGTGTTGCCAGTGCACGTATTGGTGAGCCAGATTGTGATAAGTAGGCAAACGAATCAGAGCTTCTCCAAAACTGCAGCACTTGTGCGGTGATCCCAATCTCTGTCAACAGTGGGCCAGGAAAGGAACACTGGTGATGGGGCCATGACTCAGTGATGTAGGTGGAGATCCAACAGCTGAACTGCTGCAGCTCAGACTTCTGAAGAAGTCAAGTCTCCTTCTGATTAAAATGTATTGGAATTCATAGGGGTATCACAGTTGGTTTTATATGGGGCTTCTGAACCATACAGTGCCAGTCCTGGTGCCCACACTGCTGAAAGCACCAATGGACACACGGGCATCATAACCTGACCGCATGTGGAAGAAAGTAAGTGGTGGAGGCAGAGTGCCATTTTCAGTACATGATACCTACTTAAACACTAGATCCGTTTCCATTAATCATAAAATTGCGCAAATTGAGATTAAGAAAATAAATTATCTTAATGGAAACATGCCAATTTTGTGGAAAAAAGTTTTTTAATAAAAAGTTTTTTTTCTCTGTTTTTTGCTTGACCTCTATCTGGGTCAAGTCTTCCAAGCAAAATCAGATCTGATTTTAATTACACTCCTTGAATAGGTAAAAGTAAATAGATACATAAAATGGGTATCTAATGAAAAGTAACCTTAGATATGAAGATAAGTTATTGGCAAGTGTAGCTAATGACTTAAATTGATGTTGTGGTAATTGGTATTGTTTCTGTAAAAAAAAAAAAAAAGGATAAAAAAAATCAGTTTTATTTCATTTGCTGGTGCCATAGTGCTGATCATTACTAAGATTCAACATGCAAGCTTAATCATAATCTGTATCCTCATAAAATGTAGGTAATCAAAGAAAAGTTTCTTTTGACATGTCTTATTCTCTCCTCAGATTCTGCTACTCCGAGCCCTTTGAACCTCCGTGACATCACTGATGTTGCTCCCTGTCGCAAGCGCCGTTTCCGCCATCTTGGGCCTCCAGAGCTCGCTGTGAAAAAGCAGAACCCAGAGAAGAAGAATGGGTACGAGTGCATGTTCCATGTTGTCCTCAACGCTGCCCGTCTGTGTTTGTGCTCCTGTTAAAGGATAATTGACATTTTTGAGTTTTACATCATGTTATTATAATGTCATTTCCTCATCAGAAAAATACCTAGATTCTTTAATGCATGATTGAGAAATCCTTTAATCTCCATGGCAACCATTCAGCTGTGCACAACACCCTAGTGACCCTATCTCCACTTTTAAGGCGCAGATCCTCCTTAGAGCTGCAGTTTTCAAGCTCCTAAGCTTCCACCTAACAGAGCAGCCCTATTCCATGACTCCCACATGCAGCTCCTTCAGACTAGCCAGCAGCTGTTGGCAAACACCTGGTGGAATGGTGTATGAGCTGAGCTCATTGTACCAGCTACTTCTCAGTGCAGTGCTGGTAAAATGCTGTTAAAGGGTTAATAAATGTTTCAGAAAGAGCAGAAGTTTTTAAGAGACAGATGCCTTTCAGTAATATGCTTTTTATTCTTCTTCTTCAGATCTTTGTTCAGGTGTGATTTCTAAATGACTTTTAGAACTTGAAGCTAAAAAGTCAATTCCAGACCTCAATGAGACAATTATGTAACTTTTCTATGGTGTCTGTGTCAGTGCTCCAGCTCTGTTGCCGCTCATTTAAAACTTTAAAAAGATGCTGATTTGGTGGCCAAATACTTCATGAGCCAACTTCTGTTTGGACATGTTCAATTAGAAGGTAATCCAAAGACTTGTCTCAGTCTGACTTTCTCTGTAGCAGTCTTACTTAATCAAATAATGGGTGAATATGCTGCATCTAAACTTTCCCAAGAGCAGCTGATTGTAAACTGTGCCCCAGAGTTTGCCTTTTATTCTCAGTCTGCCAGTGAGCAGCTGCTGTTGCCTGGACAACAGATCAATGCTCTCTGGTGGCTGTTAGTGGACAGGGGTGGTTGTACTTTCAGTTTTAATTTTTCTCCTTTTTTCTTCCCTTTTTATTTCTTTTTTTTTTTTTTTTTTGGAATGGAGATTTTAAGAAAAAGAAACTGAACATTTATTGGTTGAAGGAACCAGAATGGAATGAAATGCAAGAAGCAGTTCACAATGAGTTGTTTCCACCATCATTAGGCTGTGTTAGCTGTCTGGAACATCACCATTAGTCTAGTGAGCAATTGAATTTGACATCTGGTTGAAGTTTAAAAATCTGTTATTGAGTTTAGTTTAGCATCCTGCATCCTCTAAGCTGGAGCTTCTCAAACATTTTTATAACAAGTACCCAAGAGTAATATTAAGTCTTCCATTTACAAAAAATAAAAAATAAAAAAACTTAAGCATTTTTTCATATCAAAGTTAAAGCTAAAATTGTTTTTGGCATTGTACTTTTCACTAAAGGTTCAGTTCAAGTGTGTTCCACTCTTACTCAGAAGTTGAAATGTTCAAATTTTGAAGTTGGAAAAAAAATTATATGAAGCTCCCTAAAAAATGGAATTCCAAGAGTAAAATATTTTTATTATTATTATTGTTTTTATTAATCCAGATGTCAAAATCCAATATGGCTGCCTTAATGAAAGTTACTATAGAAACAGTTTATTTTTAGGGTTAATTTGTTTGCTGCATGTCTTCTCTCTTCTCACGCTGCCTGGTTTCTGTTTAAAAAAAAGCCTTGTCACAAAACACATGTTTGCACATCAACATGTTGGACTCAATTTAGAATAGTGGGGTAAGTAAGATTTCATTTTCAACTATATTTCATGTTCTGTCAGAGTAATGCACATTTTCCATTCAAACCATAAAATGTGCCCATGCTAGTTAAAAGCAAAAGTCAAACCCGCAGTGAGGCACTAGTACCACAGTCTTGTAGTGATTATCCATGATGGCTGGGAGCCATATTTGATCACTTGCAGAACCAGTGCATGTTTCAAGGACAGCCAGTATTTTACTGTGACTTTCTGTTAGCTGCTTTTCGTGGGAAAACTTTCCTTTAAGTACACAAACACTTAAAGCTAAATGACGTGTTAACAGGGACTAAAATAAGGCAGAATAGAGAATCTGAACATAGTTAGAAACATAACTTCTTCGTTTTCATCTGAGGAGGGATAAACTGCGGGGTGTGTGTTCTGCTCACAACAAGCTCTCACAACAAGCTAGGAAATTATCATTTTTGAATAATAATCTTTAATGGAAATCTTCAATGGTTGCTGTTAAAGGATAACACCAAGTTCCTTCTGAGTGTACTCCAGTCAAAACTTGGTTCATAAAAAGGTAAGCATAATGAAAAGAACACTCGTTAGCTTTGTTTGTTCATTATTTAATTTAATGAGGTGTGACAAATGAGGAGTAGATGAGAAAGGAGATAAAAAAAACACACCTGGATATTTGCTTCTGCACCTGGATAATAAAAGAAAAAAAAAACAAAAGAATGAACTAAGAAACCACAGCAATAAAGAACAATTGCTTTACTTCTCAACAAGACAAATTATAGCTTGCAAACTTTGATGGTGGCCTTCGTAGTGGGTGTGTTTGTGGTTAATTAAGCCACATTTTCCCTATTCTTGTTTAGTTTTTTTCCCACAATGTTCCTATCACTTTTGCTGAGCCTTGGTGTCTTGGTTTTTGTCTGTTTGAATTGAGTGGTTAAGGATGGGAGAGAGTCCATTCAACTGTCAAGATCCATAACTGGGATGCAAAACATCGATTCATGACCCTTGAAATCTTATACTCTGTCAAATACTGCATCCAAACAGTCCTTGGGAAATTTTGGCAGTTTTGAACAGGACCTTTACTTTTGTAGTTATCCAGCCTAATAAAACTTTTAGAGTTGTACACAAAGTCCCAATCTTGTATCAGTTTACTTGCATGCTTTATGCAGTTTTTCTTTTCTCTGGGATTTATACTTTATATCAATCTTCAGCATCATCAGTAATAAGGCAGTATTTGTCCATCATTGCTGTTTTAATCAGAGATTAAATTTCCATAAACGTAAATAAATACTTTTGTTGTTCCCAAAGCATCCACATCAAAACTGCATACATGTTTTGAGCATCGTCAGTTAACAGTTTTATTCTGGGGGGGCCAAACATAAACTCATCCAAACAGTTTGACTCACAATGGTATTGTTTTTGTTGAACTTGGTCACTAGCAGAAAACACAATAAAACAACATTGTTCATCAAACATTTTTATCTTTTCATTGTAAGTCAGGAAAAAGATCTCAGAGGACAGAAATACACAAAGCTCTTTTCAAAGAAAATCTATTCAAATTGAAAACAAAGAGCACAACACTATATTTCTAAAAGATTTACTGTGTTATAAATTATTATGAATTCTCTATCCATTATGGTCAAATAAACTGCATCTTCAACAAGATGCCGATATTTTGTATTGATCTTGTGTTGTTTTACCTGACATACTCCAGTGTACTGTGGGTCACTCATGCAAATCATTAAATCCAGATGTGCCAGGGACACAGGTGTATAAAATCCAGCACCTAGATATGCAAACTGCGTTTACAAACATTTGTGAAAGAATGCATGGCCCTCGGTGAGTTTCAACATGGTACTGTGAAAGGATGCTTCTTGTGCAATAAAGCCATTAGGAAGGCTCCTCACTCCTAAATATTCCACATTCAGCTGGAATATTTAGCTAGTGGTATTATAATGAAGTCCAAATGGTTTGTGGAGCGACAAATCAAGCCTGTATGTCTGAAAACCCACTGAAAGTGTTTGTCTTTTTTTTTTCGCCAGTTGTCTGGAGAATGATATTTGGCTGAGTGTAATGTGTCTGGTTTAGAAATGGTTTTTAGGAGTTTGAGTTGGCACTTTAGTTTTATTGAAAGGAACTGCTAATGTTTCTGCATATTAAGACATATTTAATAATTTTATTCTCCTTACTCTGTGGGAACATTTTCCTGATGCCACCTTCAGTGCTAACATAAAGGCACACCAGAGCATGAAAGCATGTCCAGAACTAGAAAGCTTGGTGTGGAGGAACTTGATTGGTCTACACAGAGCTCTGACCTAAACTGACCTAAACCTGACTAGAAAATCTTTGGGAGAAATTAGAACGGAGATTGTCAGTCTGACTTTCTCATTCAACATTAGTGTTAATAAAATGTAAAAAGACACACCTGACAAACACAAAGTACCTCAATATAAGCCTACCCACACAAACAACCTGTCAACAAAACTCCAAACTCTCGTCTTTCCAAAGGAGTATTACTTGCTCTGCATGCAAAACGCACTGAACCAGCAGCCAAGAAGACGGAAAAATAACCTACCTTGATGAAACCATAGTCATAACTGACGTATAACCTTTGCTGTTTTATGGTCATAATCCATGAGAGAGTACAGATTTCCACTTGGCTCCTGTAGTCTACTGACCCTGCGTCACTGTACCCCCAAATCTATTGACCCTTGACTGTTTAATGGACGTGTTAATCATCCAAATTGCTCTTGAGAAACTGCCCTGCGTGCAATTTACTATGTCTGACACGATTATTGAACGTTTTTACACAGAGATGTTATTTTACAGTATTTCATCTCTTTTTGTGATCTTTTACATGTTGAGAGAATAATGGCGTGCTAGAACAAGAAGCTTTTCATGCTTAGGAGTTGCTATGTTGGCGGCTGGTAGCAGAGCTCGACTCTGTCCTGTTGACTCTTCCTCAGAGGAGGAGGACTTAGTTTATACAGATTGGGATCCCAGTGAAACTACTATTAATAATTTGATTGATGTGATGACACTGAATTTGCACAGCACTTTACATTTTGCAGTTTCAAAGTGCTACAGTATTGATGTCTAGAAAATATAAAATGAAAAATGACAATGAAATTCTAAAATTTGATGACCAGAAAGGTCTGTAATCTGTTTTGCTAAGCTCTTTATCGGTTAAGGTTTTAATAGGTCTTTAAAACCTTAATTCTTTGCTTTTTTTCATTCATTTTTGTGCAGTTAATTGTCAGATTGTATACTATGACTTGCTACATGATTTGGATTTCATATACATTCCTTCAAAAGAATTACAAAGTGCTTTTTTTGTAAGTGGAAATGGATTTCTTTCTGTGGTGTGCCATAGTTATTTGCTCTTTCACTAACATGTTTTTTATTACTTTGGGGTATTCTTCAAATTTCTCTTTATTGC